GTAAATCCTTCATTCGATATGAAAAATTTAAATACTGATGCAGCAAATCTTCCACAGAACTTGGAACGCGCAATTGGATTCTCAGCGAGCAAAATAGAGGCAGACAGGCACCGTGGTCCGGTCAAGGATGAGGATAGCGACGATTCTGATTATGACGACGATAAGGACGACGACGATTATTATGATGATGATGATGACAACGACGAGGACGAGGACGACGGTCCTCCTCGTAGGTTCAGGAATTATGAGTGAGATAAAATAGTCACAGGATCTGTTCTTCTTGCCTTCAATTTTTCATTTTTGATTCCAGATCCGTAATGATCTTATTTATTAGGAGAAATTAACTTTTTAAAGTGAATTAATAATTTCTATGTTATGAGCTCTGAGATGGTCAAATCCAATTACGACCCAAGTTTATACTTATGATTATTAATTTGATTTGATTTCACCATCTCAACTAACTTTGTACTTATATCACAATGTCACCGAATTTTGATTTTATTTTAGAATTTTGCTATGACTGTGGGCCAGGCGCCTCCCCCAATGGAAAGCTGCCATTTGGCCATTATGTTAACCTTTACGTAGATTGTTATGTACCCATAGCAAGATTCTTTATTTTATCACCATGAACTAAGTTTATATAACGTTTTACTACAACCATTTAATTTTATATAATATTTCATCGTAGCTTATTTTTATATAATATTTCATCATAGCTAAGCTACGCAACTGTTTTTTCACTATTTTTATTAATTTTAATCGGCGTAAAACGAGTGGTTAGACATTATATATATAAAATAAATTTAAATTAAAACAAAAGTTTATTTTAAAAAAGCAAAATAAAATAAAAATTTATTTAAAAGAAAACGTCACTTAAAAAATAAAATAAAATATTAATTTATTTTAAAAAAATAATTAAAAAAATTTATTTTTAAAATTAAGAAAAAAGCTTTTAATTTTTAAAATTTATTATTTATATATAATACAAAGTTATCGTTTTACCTTTTTTAAAATTAGTGAAAATAGAAAAAAGAAATTGGATGGACATAATGAAATGTTATATGAAATTATGTGATAATGATAAAATAAAATAAAATTTGGTGACTATGGGAGGCTAAATATAAAATTGGATAGTCATAGTTAAACAAAATTAAATTGATAGTCATGATGACACTTGAGTGATCATTTATGAATTTAATCTATAATACCTTCTAAAAAAAAAAGGTTGAACCCCAACCTTGATGGCTCCCAACTGCCCTGTCCCTAGAGCATTGTGGATGAGGTAAGTCGCGGGATGTGTCTAAGTCAGCAGACTATGGTATAAGAGCTGTCATACTGATGCCCACAAAAAGTCTAATTCCATATCTTGTAAGAGGCGAGAATCAAACCCTCACACTGCGATTGCCAACTCAATTGAGATCTGAGATTACCTCACTCATGTCCTTTGTACCATTGAATTATGTCTCGGGGGACCCATAATGCCTTCTAACTTGCTGTGGAAGAGGTTCAAGAGGAAGCAGATTAAGCTTTTATCTTATCATAATTCAATTCCCAAGCTCAAAACAATTGAAGAATTTCTCCCAACATCCAAAAACTTCAGCTTTTTTAATGGTTTTTGTCTGCCAAAAAATGGCCTGCTTCAGTGTAGTTGACTTCGAATGCGTATAATAGTATTGAAGGAAAAACAAATATTTTAATCATAGAAAGTCTAGTACACGCTCCATGATATAATGAATTAAGCTTCTTCATCAAACAAAAAATGACACATTGAAATACACGAGGAACCCATGTTTATGAAAAAAGGAAAAGAAAAAAAAAAGGAAGCTTTTTTCCTTTATGAGTATGCTGTCGGAAAACCCTTCCTGACAACATATCAACATTGTAATATCATTGTTATAAAAATCGAATAGGACCGGTCGGTCTGACCCAAGAATCGTCGAACCAGCTAATGGATCAGTCTGATTGCATTACTTGGTCAAATTGACAGAGGAACCGGTTAAGAACTGGTTGATCATTCAATAATCGTCCGGTTCAGATGGGTTTGAGAGAAAATCAGAACCGGTTCAATGTTTTTTCAATAAAGTGAAGTGTAAAATTTTATTTACAACTTGCAATGGCAAGGATTTGAACCCGAGTTTCCATCATGAAAATTCACTTCCTTAACCATTTTGGAAACTGGGGAACTTTATAGCATGATGGGAGTAAAGTATACATATTTAGATTTAACAAACAATTTTCTTTTTATTGCAAAATATATTTTAATTAAAAATACTGCTTAAATTTGACCCACCGACCCACTAGTTAAACCACCGACTCGATATTTTTCTGGGTCAGCTACCGAGTCGGGTCCAATAACTATGTGTAATATAATTATACTCGAAATAGATGTCGATTAGTAAATAAATATTATTTGATTGCGTTCAATATCAAATAATTATGTACACATTTGTTTAAACCAAAATGTGTATTCAAAATTGACATTATTCGACTAAGGTGTTCTACACGGTTTTTGACATTATCCGACTATGGTGTATCATAAGGTTTACTATATGTTGATTTTCATTCACTACAAACTTCATTTGGTGTGGAAAAAGTTCGACTTAAGGTATTATGTGTGGAAGTATCTTGAGATCCTCGTAAAATTTCGGAAATTCACTAAATGCTTGTTTGTCAAAGGTTTATTTAAATTAAGTTCTGTTTTTCCAAAATTAGTTTCAACTATACTCTCTCTCTCAAATTCAACGATGGGGTATGTCTTTTTTCGCTTGGAACAGTAATGCATTCATCTTGTCACTTTTTTCAATAGGTAATGTATTCTATCCAAGTGATGGATAAGACAATTCAAATGGGGGCAAAATTTACTAAAAATTTGATTCTAATCTCTATCAAATAGGGGTAAAATCACAATAAATTAAAATTTTTCTCTTTTTCTCTCGTCTTTTAACAAAATCTCAATCAAACAAGGGTAAAATATTGCATTTTTAATACCATTTTGAAGTGTTCAGGATCTAATTTCCTACGTCATTAATGACGTACG